GCAAACAGCTGGAAAATCTACCTTTTTCAGCTATAATAAAAACTTTGCCACTGTCGGGGTGCTACCAAATTCTTCATAAACCTTCAAATAATTCATCTCAACCAACAAAAAGAACAAACCATCGAGTGCATAAGGATACGGTGGCGCTGGAAAGTCCGCTCGTTCAATTGGTGGAACGATACCAGGCTCTGGAGCATGCCCAGCCGGATAATGGGCCATCTCAATCGGTTCCTCATTATCCATATGCGGTGATCGCGGACGTGGAGCACTTTTTTCGAGATCTTCCGCTGAAGCAAAAATTCCGTAATTCAAACTGCTTGCAGTACTTTCCGACAACAAATGACAAAAAATGATAAAAACTGAAAAGGCCTTCTTGAACAACTTATGTTTCAAATTCGAGCCGTTTATAGGCAAAGGAAAAAAAAAAAGAAAAAAAACGTACTTAATCGTTGCATCCCTGTTTTCAACATTGAAAGCCGTGATTTCCGGATTTTAATTGGACCTGGAAAATAGTGACGAAGAAAAATACCTCTTATTTCGTGCAGGTACGTAAAGTCATGCAAGTTCTGATTGGACGCACCCTTAGAAATTCGTTTCAGAGATTCGAATTCAAATCAAACGTACTTACCCTGAGGAGTATGAAACTGCGCAGGCTGTGGCGGATGAGGTGGAATTGGTTGCTTCAAATATGTTTGTTCAGCTTCTGGCAATAGATACATATATGTCAAATGCTGACCAAAATGCGCATGATATTTTGACTCCTCATGAGCATTGCTTGCGTCACCTGTTGGCTGGAAACATGGAAATGAAACCAAATGGTATTAAATCGTATAAATTTAAAATATTTGTTCAGGATCAGCATTTCATGCTAACTCATTCGGATTCCAAAAAATGATAAGCAGAAGAGCTATGTGCCCAGTACGCTGTAGATTGCAACAGCAGTGTAGAAAGTAAGCATCAAATCGATTATTAAAGGTCATTTTTTCCACAAAAAAAAAGTTAAGACATCCTAAGATAATACCCGAAGTGATCATTTCCAGAAACACTCCACACGAATTCAGTTTTTGTAGAAAGAAAAAAAAAAAAAACGAGACTTATTTCATATCCATCAGAACATTACAGACAAGGACCTGAAGCAAAGAAAATGATGACCATGCTTGCACACTATTAAGTAATAATCTAACCCGTAAAATCCTATCTTAGAAATAAATTAATTTACTAATGTAAATACAAAAAATAAAATGACTTACAGCAATATTTTCTGTCACTTTTGTCTGCTCACAACCTGGGTGCCAGATTTCATCACCTTGCATGTACATTTCTTGTCCATCACCAAAGCGTTCACCACAGCGTGAACAACGAGCGCAAGTTGGATGGAACTTGTAACCACCAGCCTAAAGCTGTATGTACAGAAATACTACACCTAAAACTACTAATATTTGAAAGTTTTGGTAAATCTGAAATGATTCTTAACTGTGCGAAAAATGAATCAGCTTTTCGTACACACTACCAATACATTTCGTGATCTTAGAAGGGTTTACGTACTAAATACATATCAGTGATGTCTCAACATCATCTAACTTTCGCACAAAATACGGATATTTTTAAACAGTTTAGATTTTAAAATAATTTAAATCCGCCAAACTACTCACTTGCAATACTTTTCCAGCAATATACTTATCACACTCATAACACCGGACACCATATTTCATATTGTAATCTCGAATACAAAGTGGTTTGCCATCATGTGTCATGTATTCGCCTTGCAGTACGGTAGCGCAGTCAGAGCATTTAAAACACCAAACATGCCACTGTTCTCCGAGTGCCAGCAACACCTGACCGCTCTGCAGCGGCTGTCCACAAGATGCACATCCTGAAAAGCTTTGAAATTCAGTCTGACATCATGTACCAGCATGATTCTGACCCTAACAAAGACTGTTCGAACTCACGATAACCCAAAGAAGTAAAACAACAATCATTTACAGCGGTAAATCAAGAACAGAAAGTTACAAATTTTGACTTGAACCACGTCTAACTTGGAACTGCAAAATACCTGCAGGAGAGGCAAGAGGTGATGGTTGCGTTGGCGGAGTAATAGGAGACACCGGTGACAAAGAAGTTTCGTCAGCATGTTTTAGACTTTGCTGTTCAGCTTTCACTTTCAAAGGCACTGATAAAGCTCTAAAATCTTCGGCACACAAAAACTGCCCTTCCGAACCCGTGTAGTAGCCAGTTTCTCTCAATGACCTTGAGCACTCTAGAAATATTTTTCTAACTTGGTTAATACAAAGAATATCGAATTGAGATGCTGGTGGAAAACCTTATAAAACGATTTGGTTTTAAAATAAATTCAAATGAAACTGGATAAAGACAAGGTAGTATCATGAAAGCAGAAGTAACGATAAAATTATACTTTTATATGATTTGGAAAAAGAAAAACAAAAAATGTTGCGAAAATTCTAAAAAATACATTAAAATATCTCAACTACAAATAAAACCTCTAGCAAATCCTCTTGTAGAAGAGTTTTGAGCATTTCACATCCACCTAATACTTCGGACGACTTACCTCAAACAGAATAATCCAAAAAATGCCTTATGCAATAAGAAACCAACAAAATGTTGAAAAACGAAGTGAAGAGAATTATTGAAAATTATTAACCGCTTCTTCCACTTATTCAGAAAATAAATGGATCTTTGTGCGTTTATATACGCGAACTATAAATCTCCAAGCAACGTTTTCGTCTCACAGCAAACGAATAACATGGGAAATATTACCTATGAGCTACTCACTTCAAACAACGTGAAAGATGTATACAAAGACCTCATTTATTATGGAATAACTGGTCCTGGCTAGAAATCAAATTACCTTTAAAAAAAATATCGAACAAAAACGAAAAAATTTACTTGTAGCCTCCAATTCATGAATAATTCAATGTTCATCATGCATTTCTAGAAGGTTTATTACAGTTTGGTAGAGAACCGTATAAAATTTATTCTAATTTTTTGGAACAATATTGCTACATAATGTTTAATCGATAAAAACCCTTTTTTTAAAATAAGAAACCCTACGTTTCGGGAAATCCATTCCACAAAGAGAACTCCAAACTCACAAGTGCGATTTTGTATTATGTCCAAGGAAGTATAGAAGCAATCCCTACTTTAACAAGCGGTCAATTCCATTTGCAAGAATGTCACAACAAAACACACAGTGAATGTTCCGTATTCCCCTAAAATAGATCAGATCTAATGACTTACTCGCACATTTAAAACAAGAAATGTGAATGTATTTCTCGCCTTCTGCCTTCAAAATTTCGCCAATACACTTCTTTCTGCATATATAACATTTTTTGCCTGGAAGAAAAACAATAAATATAACCTTGTCAACCTCCAGAAAAAGTATTGATATGAAAAACTGAAGCATGAGATCTAATTCTAGAATCCAAGGGAGACATATGCCCCTTCATTTTAACGAACCCGTCATTTAAAGCAAAAGATCACTATTAAATCCATGTTTAGCTACTTTAACAGATGCACATCATTGAGAGGATGGTAGCGTATGGTAATTTACTAACCATCATGGCTAACAATCAAACTAATAACCCTTAATATCAACAACAGGAAGAACAACCGTTTCAAGTCATGCTAACGAATACAAAATGAATGAATTGGAACATAAGATAGAGGAAAAATGGACAGACAAACCAACTGACAATAACTGCCAACAGTTCATGCTTTGCTCTTCAATGTAAGTAGAAAGTATGAAGCGTGACTTAGTAACGACCCAGGCAATACTGTTCGTTTTCCCCAGTAAACAGTGGGAGAAAATGGGACATCAATGGGTGGTATAACTGCTGACCATTCTTAGTTTGAAATAAATGATTATCAATTATTATCATTCCAAAAGAAAAGTAACTAACCCATTGCGACACAGAGACAGACGGGTCACTTACCCACTACACACTCCACTGGATGGATAAATCACTTGGCCGTTGAACTGCGTGAGGATGTGGATATGGAATTAGCATTGCAGCAGCAGGAGCAAGAGCGCAGCAGACACAGCTAATGGAAGACAGCGCGGGAGGGTAGAGGGTTATACGCCGAAGATGCCCCTAAAATCGATCAATAAATGTTATTGGTTGTAGTAGATGGGAAAACGGCGGTGGTTGTTAACTGAGACGGAACTGTGTATGGTGCGACAACCGAGCAGTGCTATAACTCGACCTTTGCCACTGACTATTCCGAATAATCCGGAGGACAAACGTTCTTGTTGATCCAGCATATGCAAGAAGGCAGTGGAAATGGCTAGCTTAATTATCGAAAGCTTTAGCTTTCAATAAGTTTAGTAATTGTCCTTTCTCGGGTGATTGGTAGGAGTGGTCTAATAGAAAACTATCGTCCGAGGAGGACTGGATGAATTAAAATTGGATGAACTTTGTGGGGAAGGAAGAGAGCTACGGGTTCTGTTCTGTCTTTCACGTAGTACTTCGGCGCAAAGAAATAAAGGATGCATGCCGCGAATGGGTGTGTCTTACTGAACACTCCGTCCAATACATATGGAAAGACTTAAGACAAAACATTCTTTTCCAGACCCACCTAATATTTTACCATATCTCGTGAGTGCTTTGTCGATTTTGTTGCTTCTGTGACACAGAACTTATAGCTGGAGTGCACGTTATCCAGACTGACCCGAATAAACTTATTGAAAAAACAATAGCGGGTCGTTTATAATGTTAGATTCAAGCCCTCTAACATCAGATTCGAAGTGGTTGGTTATTTTGGTTGGTTGTCGGCACTTAATTTATCCGAATTCAACTTGACTTCGAATTCAACCGAATTCAAACTGACTCATTAACATATATGTCATTTATTTGTACTGGCTAACCTTTAACTCCGTGTAACCTCAAGACAGCTTCCATTGTCATTTCTTTAAATTTAGATGCTATCCTTATCTGCCTCTTGCTTGATTTGTTGCAGTGATATTTAATTTCAGGTGAAACACAATGACAAACGCTGAGTGGGGGAAGAAAAGTGTTCTCTTTGTATGCTTAGGTAAGCACATTTTTTTGGACTTTATGAGCATACGTGCATTGCAATTATAAGAGGTAGAGTTAAAGTCTATTAATGCGGCAACTTTCCCAGCATTCGGAACCCTTCCACTTGAAATTCTTAAAAAACAGCTAGGAAAATAGCTACGGCTGCTTCAAATCTGGTTTTAACAGCTATATAGGGCAATATCTGCGTCAGATACACCCAAGTTACCACCTGAGTTAAACTTCAAGTGTAGGCAATATTTGTCGATCACCGATGGCCGAAGCAATTTTTTCGGATCTCATCAGGAAAAAAAATCTTGTGGATAAATGGATTGTTGATAGCGCTGCCGTTATCAATTTTCATGTTGGTAAATCTCCGGATAAAAGAACAATGGCAACACTGGCTGGGCATGGAATAATGGATTATGAGCATAAAGTTCGCCAGGTTTGTTTCATTACATTTTATTTATTTCTATTTTGTTGTTTTATTTTCTATGGCATCCATGAAAGGGAAGAGGGACTTGTGTGCTGAGCGTGCGGTTTCTAATATTAAAAAAGAAAGTTTCCCAATATAAGTTGAGAATTTCCAGGTGACTGACTCTGATTTCCATAATTTCGATTATATATTTGGCATGGACGAAGAGAACATTGAGTAAGTTTAATGTTTTTTGCTGAGAAAAAAAGTGATCTTATCGTTGTGGAGAACAACTGTAATGTCTAGAATGCGTTGAAGAGAAGGGAGAAGGGAGGAGAAGGAGCAACAAAGGTTTGAATCAGGAGGAATAATCAGAATTATTTTGGAGAAGAATGTGTTTTGGTATTCTTTTTTCTTGACTTATTTTTGTACGTTTTTAGAGATTTCCGGCAACATCAACTTTCTATGAAAAGATTTTTTTAAGAGTTATGAAGTTCTTCACGAGCTATATTTATGAGATGTGCTTTTGAAATTACCTCTTCTCAGTAAAGGTGAACAGCAGATAATATGGCCATCGTTTCCAAATTAATTTGGCGAACCCATTTGTGCATATTTATTATCGTTATCACTTTCTCAGAGATCTGATGAATTTACGAGGAAATGTAAAAAGCAAAGCAGTTATCGAATATTTAGGCAGGTATGATCCGGAGGGCGTTTTAATCGTACCGGACCCTTTTTACAGTCGCGGCATGCAAATGTTTGAGAAGGTAATTTACTATGTTTTCATCCGTAGTTTTATTTGTGCGTGCTATTACATAATGGTATTTGTGTATCAGCTGTTACTGTGGTTTTTAAGTAATGTCAAATTTTACATATTTGTCGTAAAAAATGTTGTGCCAATAAGTTGTTTTGGACTATTGTTATTAATTGTATTTCCAGGTTTACGAACAGTGTTTGAGATGTTGCCAAGCGTTTCTAGAAAAAAACTCATGATCTGATGATTTAATGCTGTAAAAGTCGCCAATATCTTTGTTGTCGTGGTTCTTAATTTACCTGATTCTCATATATTCAAATAATTGAACGAATTACAGTTACGCACACATAACATTAATGCATGTTTTATATTTTCGATTGTCGTTTTTGAATTTTTTTGGCAATTCATTTATGGAGATTTTTTTTAAATAGAAGGATGTGAGTGGAAGAGCAGTTTTTAGTTGCCTGGGTAGATACGATGCAAATACATGCATATATGACATATCAGAAAATTATGAAAAAGTAAGGGTTCCAGATTCAAGACTGATATCCTGAAAATTTATTGTCATACATAGATGTATTGTTTGCGCCACCATATAATTTATTGTTTCTTACGTGTTATTCCTTACTTTCTGTTGCTGTTTTTTTTTCTTTAGTACAAGTAAATTTTTTGTCAGGTTTTTGATATTTAGCACATTTCTTGTTCAATTAATTTTTATACCGTTTTTACTTTTTATCTATGCTTCGCGATCAGGAAAGAAGATAACTTGAATTAGGAGGCTAAAATGATTCTACTTCATTGTTTATAACTGTAGGATAATGACTTGGGGAATTCCCAGTTTTGAAGGATTTGATAGATAAAGATGTTCAGAGCACCGAACTTTCCTTCTTGATTAGTAATGTCCTTGCGGGATATCTAAGGGAAGTATTAGTTTACATGGATCATATCGTTTAAGGGATCCGTGGCCACGGTTTACCGCAAGTTATTTGCAGAAAATGCCTGGTTTCGATTCACGGGTAATGTATCTGATAATGAGATCTGATCTTATCTCGGATTTGAAGTGGTCGGTCGGTGCAGTTGCAGCACAAGCTGCACATGCAGCAACTGCATGCGTGTGGACATTTCGTGAAGATAGTGAAGTGATGGAATACATGAAAGATATCTCTCATTTGAGAAAGATTACATTGAAGGTAGTATTTTCCTTTTATCGCAATGAAATGCTGGTGTCTCCACTTGACTGGATGATTCATAGACAGTCGATTATTGGCGTTCTGCCGAGTTGCATATAGTGTTCTCGTTCTATTTTTATATTCACTGGCCATCATTTCTTCGTTTACTTTTTAATTTTTCGACATGCTGTGCATGAATACAGATTAATTAAAACAACATAGATTTCAAGCACTGAATAAACTATAGTTTTATAGGTACCGAACGAAAGGGAATTGCGAAATGTCGAGAAGAGGCTGCAGGATAGCAATGTTGATTATTATTTATGGATGGAAGACAGTATGGCTGTGTGCATAGCCCTCAAACCGCAATTCAGAACTTTTGTCGAACAACATGTAAAACAATTGAAACTCTTTTAAATGAAGTCTTCAATTCTGCAATTGACCATGTCGTATTGTGTTAATGTTAGCGACGCTACAGTGACTGAATATTTCCGTGAGATTCTGTATAACATATTTTATTCAAAGATAGACTGAAAATATACTGCTTATTGAAAGTATGACTAAAAATGTACTGCTTATTTGCTTCCAAATTTAGTTCTTTTTTTCTGTTGAAGACTCAACTTTTTATTACAAATGCAATGAATAAAGAATTTGTTTTGCTCCCACTCACCGTCTCTATACATATATATATATATATATATATATGTATATATATATATATGTATATATATATATATGTATATATATATATATGTATATATATATACATATATATNTATATATATATATATATAT